GACAGAGCGTTGTCTATTATCCTCTGCGACGGCCATATCATCAAGAAATTGTTCGAGTAAAGCTTCATTGTATTGCTTGGGCAGAATACTGTCAAGATATGCAGGCATAAACAAGAGAACGATTAGGGTTCTCAACCGAAGCTATTGGGTCGAAATTCTGACTACAAGGTAGTGTGGTTTTGGCGCTGGGGTGCTGAGAGTCCATTATATGAAGTAACGAACCACTCACTTCAATCCCCGACTGGAGGACCAGTAGACTGCGTTTGTCGGGCCTCTAGCCATTGGCCAATCTGGTATGTGTGGCTCTGAAGGTGCAAAAGCCCCACCTAGCATAGCCCAATGAATCGCTGAGGCATGCAAACCATCGCACCACGTTAAGACCCAGTCTCGTCACTATGGTAACCTTTTTCGGCTCAGGTTTGTCCTTTGCCAATAATTTTTGAATCAATCAGCTGCCTATTTTTGTGGCTTTGGTACCCTTGTTCACTTCGGACTCGACCGATCAACAGTTGTCTGTGTACCCACTTAGTTGCCGTTCGCTTTTGAACTCAAAGATCAACACGAAACGATTGCCTGATTTCTCGGCCTTGAAAACAGTTTTGTCTACACTGATCGCAGCGGCCAGCTCATTGTTCTACTGTTGGATTCGTAATTTCGGTACCTAAACGTATAGCGCTCTAGCGCAGCATTGCCCATAAATTATCCTGTCAACCAGTGGGGTCCATATGTGTGAGTTCACTGATCATTCGACGCAACTTGTCGGACAAGCTCTTACATATCACTCTATGCTGTCGACTGTCTTGCATTTTTCATGTGATTTCTCATTTGGTCAGTGCATTGTCCGGTGCGGTAAAGTCCTTGTTCTGGCGGCTCTTAGCCCTACGGCAGTTCTAACACTATCATCATCATCATTGGGCGATAAGATCACCTGCCAGAATTGCGACATGCGTACCTTTTCTGTAACGCAAGAGAGCGTTCAGTTGGTGATGAGAGTCGTCTTTCACCGAGTCGGCGCTATACTTTGTGCGGCGTAGGCAGCAATGTCGCACAGACACCAGTCGTTCCCGCGCGGCTTCGAAGCTTTGAACGAGCCAGCCAATCTGACGGCGCACATCCGACTGTTCATCGGGATCCGATCGATCATGGCAGCTTCAACCCGTGGGCGCAAATCAATGCCCACACGGACTTGACAGGTACTTCTAGCTGCGTCATCTCCGAACAAGCGCGATGCGACGCTGCCTCTAGTACCACATATGTGGGATCGCAGTTTGAGCACTTAGGTCGTATCTTGCAGTCGTGTTTTCGATTAACTTCCGGCAAGTGCTCCCCGTTGGCCCATGCCAGTCTTAGGGAGAATCAAAGACCCCTAGAGAGAACCGGGTGAACCGACGTCGTTTAATTTATTGAATATGGATTTGGTCGGGTCATGGCGACGCCCTACGATTGGGCTTCTCAACAAAAGGCTTGCTCAAAACTCGTACAGCAGTCGGGATTTTGCTCTTTTTATGGGGCAAAAAGCCACTCTCACTCCAACCCCTCACCTGGACGACCAGGAGGCAGTTTGATTGGCATAACCATTGCCAATCTGTTATGACTGGCCCTGAAGATGCAAGAAGCATCACGTAGCATGGATTGGTGAGGCACGCAAACCATCGCGATGGCGGACATGACACCTACCGCCATCATTTGCCATTGCGGCTGCATGTTTTCTCAGTGATCCAGATCTTCATAGCCTTGTCATGGTCTTGTCACTGGTCGCAAAGGTATCATTTATTTCCATCATGAATCTGCAGCGATTGTGCGCGATCGACCCATCTTGTTTACTGTCCGAATCGGCCCGCTGCATACTGTCCTGTTATTTTTTCTGCTGAGGCAATGACTCCGCGCTAACTTCCCTCTGCTATTCGGTCGGTGGCCGAAAGGGTTGCATGCCTCGTTTGTAGTCTGTAAGTCACCGGCTCGAATTCGCATAGAGGCAGGCGTCCTCGCGGTATACTCAGGCCACGCGCGACCGGTGGTAGTCGTGTGGCAGCGAAACCTCGGTACAGTGTGACGGCGTACTGCTGCTGAGTTTCTTTCCCTCTGCTAACGCCCTCATCCTTTATTCACTTGTGGACCACATCGTGACTCTAACACAACAGACAACCTGAGAGTATCATCTGCTCCTAAGACCTCCTTCCGCTCATTCTATCCTTCAACCGCAATTGTTTTCTAGTTTCATGACCTCATTTGGAGTGCCCGTTACGTTGCCAGTAGCGACCGGTTTCTTTGGCAGTTTCGTGCTTTTTCACCGTTCATATCGATATCTGTATGTCAACCTCTGACATTAGTTACACTTCACACACACACACACATGACGTCTTCAACTACTCCCACTGATGATATCTTGGATTAGGGAAGCTGGGTGCTTGCGTTGCAGAGCTTCGTTGCCACACTACGAAGAATATTCCTTTTATTGTAACATGTGGCATCTCCAGCAAATACTGGTCTTCAAACCAATTTTCCTGAGACGGATACTACCAAACGACTTGGTACTTGCCACGTCCAGTACTCTGCCACTATTGGCATCACTTCATCCCGATGAAAAACGTATTCCTCGAGACTACGATTCCCATCCCATACCCTGCCATCTCATGAGTGAGGTCCTCATCATCAACAGCAATTCACCAGCCATTTGTAATAATGATGCTATGGTGCCATACAACCACAACGACTCAGAGAACGAACGATATTAGGAAGCAGAGAAGGAGGGCTTATCGGAAAACCTTAATACCTTAAGCAAACATTCAGGGTCAAGACAGGAGATATGACTCATAGCCGTTTCACTTAGACTGTGCGTAAACCTTATTTTTCGCATGGACATTATGTGACCTACTCGAATGTTAGCCTTCATACTAGACAATTTACGTAGCCTTTCTCTTGTTGGTGCATACGATCGATTCATAGATAAACACAATTGTCTCCACTTAAGTGGAGAGCATTCAATCTTGCTTATCCAAACACCGTCGCCTCTCGACTGGTTTCAACCTTGATAAGCCTGATAAGCAACATCGGGTGGGCAACACCACCCAATTTCCATCTGCTTCGGCTAAAGTCCTAGTGATCGCAGTGACTAAGCTTCACTTCGATGTGAATTGCGCGTCGCAATCCAATCACACAACATGTAATCCAAAATTGACCCTCCAACATCGAGACTCCTCCACTTTGGATACGGTCATGTTAATTGGAATGACAGAGGTCTACTACACATTAAACTGACGTCTCAAGGGGGATTGCGTGTTGCAATTCAACCACACGGCGGGTACTTTAAACTCCTTAATGTTTGAAGTTTTTGCCAATCTTTGGTTTTCTGAGCTATCTAGTTCTACCACTTGAGTTACCAACTCTTAGTTTCTGGGGTTTACCATCGGTTTTGACCAATTCAACCGGTTAATTCTCTCCACTTTTGTGTCCACAGCTCTTGCGCTGTTTCTAGGCGTTTCTAATTTCCCCATTTTAGCATACATAAGTCTATTCCCGTGAAGTGACAACAGTTGTCTTGTTCTTTCTTGTTCCTGTTAACATTTCATTCCGGTATGTTTACTACCTTTCCCAGTTGATTTCGATGCCAAACTGGGAATATCTACTCGGTTGCAGACATTCGAGTCATGTGCCATAACTACGCCATAGCAGATCGACTTTCCACTTCTGTTGGGTCATACGCTTCAGCCACCTAAGTGGCTCGCACTTGGCAACCGCTCTGTCCATCATACCTATTGCACATCTCACAAGATCACACCCTTCTTAAGGCTACAGAATGGGTGTCGCTTCCATCATAGCCTTAATCCACAGACAACGCCTTAGAGACGGCTACCTGTTGGTAGAAACGCACCACAACGGGTTATCACATTGGGATTAGTTTATTTGTCAATCCGTAAGAGGCGGTACATCGGTTCGAACATGGTTGTGCTCCATCAGTATGCACCAAAAAGACAGCCCTAGATTATTCGCTCATTCTGCACGATCGACTCGATATTCTGTTGGGAAACTTCTTATGTGAACCCTAATAAAGTTCTTTGTCTGTGGTACGTGCTAGCACGGACGCAGTTGACAGATCTGGAACTCGGATTACCACGATACTGACTGCATTGCTGTAACAAAGACCTGTTTCTTAATTTCCAAAATATCTTCATTCCTTTTGGAGCGATGCGTGTCGTCTTCCTGATTAGTTATTAAAATCAGCTGCGTCTGTGGCGCAAAACCTACTTTGGAAGCATTTCCTTTCGCTCTCTTGCTTTGTTTGACAATTTTTGTTCTCCTTCTCTATTCTTCTTAATCTCACTTGTTTTCTCACTTTTATGCTTGTTACTTGGTTCCTCTGAGCGGCGGTCACGACACGTTTGCTCAGTGGTCGCACACAGAGCCGCACCTCGTCGAATCATTCGTCTACCATTTGTATCTGCACATGTCTTCCATGCTTCCCCTTGGTCCAGGGTTTAGGGCGACCCTTATATAGTAAAGGCAAGCGATATATATAGCAGACCGTATAACAACGCTGCTTAACAAGCCCGTGATCATTAAATTTTTAAATCCGCTTCACATTACGCACTCCAGTGTCGTCGCAGCGATGAGTGGTTGGTTTCCGCACCAAGTTGTACGAGCTGTAGCTGTTTTCAGTAAGAATCAGATAACCAGTTCACACCCCTCCACCTCCCGAGGCGTGTCTGTCATTTGTCTCAATCATCTTACTTGCAAAACAAATGAGGTTTATTTAGTCTTGCCTCCACTTTGATGACATTATCCGATCGTTAGTCCGCGGACGCACTCAGGCATATAGTTGGTCATCGGCAATAGAAGCGGTTATCCTACTTGTAATTGCTTTCGCCTTTTGGTAGGCTCATTTTTGCTTTGAATCATCGACTTTCGCATATTATTCTTAATCTTATTAATCTTATTTCCTGGTATTCTCTATTTAGGATCGATGGTTCTCTCCTATTATTTCCCTTTCTCCTTTGTTCCAGCATTCGCATATGTAAGAAGACCACATGCGACTGCGCCATCCTCATTTCCCAGCGATCATTTTCCCCCCGGTGCTCTCCTGACGGTGAATCCAGTCTAATGGGACCTGCTTGTTGCGTGCTTATTCTGGTTTCGAAGATCCCTCACAAGATTTGCTTCTTTCAAGGTTTCGGCATTTCACTTTACTGTTGCCGGTTGCTATGTGCCGTCCAATTTTCCGGATCTGATCCTCCTATTACTTTCATAGCTCTTCTTAAATCCATTGATGCAAGTTCATTTTATTCAGCACAGCTCTTTCCGTCGCTCTTCCACCTTCGTTTCGTCTCCACTCATCTTTATTACTATTATTTTCTTATCAAAGGAAGTTTTCCACAGAAACGCGCACTCACGAATGCACTTCCGTGGTTACTTTGGTTTCTATTTGGAGTTGCCTTCCTGTTTTTTCCAATCATGTTATGTAGATATATCCCATCATCACACATGTACGCGGGATCTTGGAGATTGTGTCACTCTCGTTGATTTTGGGTATGGCAGATTCAAACCACATCGCACAGTCATACCGTCCACGTAACAGCGGGCATCGATGCTAACTACAATCTGTATGGCATACCTTCAATGTATTGATGATAGGGTTTGCCAACTCCGGCGCGCTTATGCGGCCCCATAGTTTGCACTATTTTGTCTATTTAGCGTATGTGTGTGGCACTGATTTATATGGTCGATAAGTCTTCTTTCGCACTAAAACTGTGGACTTTACGAAATAGCCATATCACATTGTTTTGACAAGGACAAGAAGTCTCAGCATTAAGTCGACACACCCTATCGATGCTACCTTGCCACGCGACCACCACGAGTCAGGAATATTACGAGACCACTGGCGCCTACGCAGATGGGAATCAGAAACCTCGGGGTTAGAAGCCAAGATGTGACCAACTTGATCCGGTGCGAGCCGCTGGTGATCATGGCTTCAAATGCTGAAGGATCCGCTACTTTCGGGTGTACATTTAATCGAAGGGTTTGGCTGAGGACCCGAGTCGTTCTTTTATCAGGAGTAGGCGTCCTCCCCGTATCCTACTCCAAACCCCATCATCCTCGGAGGTCAGGAACTGATCGATGACCTTTTCCCGTAAAATCTGGCCATGGGAGACAACAGATCTACGGGTTATCAGCTCACAGCTCGGTTGGTGTAGAGCACCAGCGCCACTCATTGTCTCTGACGGCGGGAGGGCACCTACGGGTGCTCAATGGTTTACTACTGTCGGCCTCAAGCCAGGCAGCCCCTGGTCAAATTGGTGCAAACCCGCCAAAACCCTCCTGCGTCTGGTCGTGGTTGCAGGTGAGCATCTAACTACGGTCGAAAAACGCAAATTAGTTGTTCCAGAACTTCAAAGGCTACGTGTTACTGACATCGAGCAGATCTCAATCTGTCTCTACCATCACACTCCTGAGCTGGATCTGCTCCCCACGGTCTTGTGGGTCAGACTATTAAGTCAAGAGTTCTGGGTAGAGTCCATCAATCAAACCTCGAAGCACATCCGCCACCTCGCGTGTGATTGCCCACCAATGCAATCGTATGCCTGCACGCAAAGCACTCAGCATCGGTGATGGAAAGTGCGCACACTAGTGGACCGGAACCCCAGTGAGCGCCCCGAGCGACGCACTGCACTGGTCGCGATGGAGCTGGCACGCTAAAACATCGATATTGCGGCGCTCAGTGGAATCCAGCACTCTGAGCAAACTAAGTTGCATGAAGCAGGTCCTGATGACACGCATGATCAATTTTACACTCAGTTATCCTCCGGGATACGGTCTGTGCCGTGAGGCGCCCGATTATTTTTGCTAGGTGATTTTAACACTCGCGTTGGGCGTGATGCCTCGGTGTGGACAGATGTCATGGGCCCGCGTGTCATTGGTTCAGCGAATGCGAACGGTGACAGGCTGTTCTCACTGTGTGCCACTCATGGCCTGTCGATCACGAACATTCGCTTTGCACTGAGTGCGACTGATAAAGCAACTTGGACTCACCCACGGAATGGTCACGCTCACCTGCTCGCCTATGTCATCGTACGTCAGCGTGATGCGCGTGAAGCGCGCATGACACTTGTACTGCGTGGACTTAGTGTGGGACTGCTCACAAATTGGTGCGGACCAAAATGTACATATATTTTCGTAAATCTATGTAACGTACTCCTGCCGTGAATCGGCGTAAATTTAACATTCTCTCCCCCGGTATGATGGAGAAGCGTATTGAGCTGAAGAAGGCGTTGATTGCACGCCTATGTGATGTGGAATGCATAGCTGCAGTGGGCGATCTGTGGCACCAACTTCGCGATCATGTGACAAGTGCTGCCGAGGAGACCATCGGGCGCGCAAACTGTAAGCGGCCCGATTGATTTGATGAGAACAATGTGACGATTAGTGCATTGGTGGCTAAGAAGAATGCCGCATTTGTTACACATGTGGCAGACGCCAGTGACTTGGGGAAGAAGAGTCAGTTTCACAAACTTCGACAGCGACTGACCCGAGTGCTCCGTCGCATTAAAAATGCGTGGTGCGCGGAGAAGTTGAAGTAAATCGAATGCTAAGCCGAACGCCAAGTCCTTGTATGGACCGACGTTGGAGCAGCTGTCTACGGTGTTCGATGGCAGCTCAGGCGCTACCTCCACACGGACTGCAGACATAATGCAGATCGGGCAGAAACACTTTGACTGTCTCTTGAACAACCGTTCGGAGATTGACTGGCCTACTTTGAATGGTGAGTTTGGCGCACATGCCGACACTAGATGAGGCGCAGAGAGCACTTGCTCAGCTGCGAAGCGGCAAGGGTGCCGTTGCCTTCGGGATCCTGCTTGAAGTATTGCAACACGACGGACCTGTGTTGATGAATTCGCTGCACCACTTGGTGCAACGCGTGTGGACTGAGGAGGATGCGCCTCCTGAGCTATGTCCTTGTGCTACCACTGTACAAGGGCAAAGGTAGCAAGCAATGTTGCACGAATTATCGTGGCATCAACTTGTTGAGTTGTGTAGGCAAGGTGATTGCCCGAATCCTGCTCAACCGCCTCGTCAGTCAGGTTGTGGAACCGAACATGGCGGAGGAGCAATGGGGATTCCGTTCGGATCGCAGCACTATAAATATGATGTTTGCGGCTCGTCAGTTGCAGGGGAAGTGCAGAGAACGACGCCAGCCATTGTACTCGCTTTTTGTTGATTTCACCAAGTCATTTGATACGGTGAAGGGCGAGGCATTGTGACTGGTGTTGGGTAAGTTCGTAAGTTTAATTGAATGTACACAGTGATATGCGGGTAAGGGTACTACTGAATGGAGAGACCTCGGATGACTTTACAGTTTTCACTGGTCTTTGCTCTTACCCTTTCTAGTATTTATTTTCATGCAATGTAGTCTTGTGCTTTTGATGCGGTTTGTGCTTAAGGTTTTCGTGTGGAGAACCGTACTGATTGGTGGTTGCTGAACATGCGTCGTTTTGGTGCGAGAACTTTAGTCTGTGCGATAACTATCCTTATGCTGCTGTTCGCTGACCACTGTGCGTTGTTTGCGCATAGCGCGGATGATTTGCAGTATATGACTAGTGCTCTGGCTTCGCCAACGGCCGAAATCGGGCTCACCATAAACACAGGCAACACTGTTTGCCTTTTCCAGCCTTCATCCGGAATGGAGTCCGTGGGTCTTCCCGAAATCTAGATTGCCGACGATGTGTTGGTAACCACTTCGAGATTTTGTTACCTTGGTAGCGTAATAACAACTGACCAGCAGTTGACGTGAGACCTGCTCTACCGCGTATCAAAGGTGGCTACTGCTTTTGGCAAGCCGTAATGCCGTGTGTGGAACAACAACCAGCTCACTGCTGAGACGAAGCTGCTGGTATACAAGTCTAGGGTGCTATCCGTTCTTCTCTACGGCCACGAAACCTGGACGCTTTATTGGAAATATGTACGATATCTGGAGCACTTTCATCAACAGTGTCTGCGCCAAATACGCACCAGCTGGAGTGACAGAGTTGCAGACACTGAACTGCTCCTGCGCGATGGCATGTATGCAGTGAACTGCATGATTCTGCTGAGGTCGATCAGGCCTATTCCCCGTATGGATTCGTCCCGGATACCCAAACAGCTGTTTTATGGCCAAGTAAGTGCAGGGAAACGGCACGTGGGTACACCGAAGTTACGTTACATGCACATGATCTAAGTGAGCGTATTACGTTCTAATGTTGATTGCAGGTCATGAGAATCGAAGTCGGTTGATCAGCGTGCATGGCGCGATCTACTCACAAAGACAATTGCCAAGGTGCATAAGAAGACCCTCATATATGTGGAGAAGAAGCCGCAGGCGCCGATGGATTCTACTCCATCAATCTCCTGTGCATGATGCTATAGCAGGTGCGGTCGCGAATGCTTGAATCAGGAAGCTTTACAAAGCCACAATCGAGGCCACTCAGACCCAGCATCGAAACGACGATGGGTACTGCATAGAATGTAGGCAGAACCGGTGCAGCATTGGTAGGTACCCTGCATCCAATTTACCAACCACGTGCTCGCTTCTTAAGTTCCTTTATTACAGGTGGTTGGGCAACAGAAATAATCTGGAAGGGCATTCAACATGAGTCTACTCAATTAATTTGTTCCGTGCGTACCCCAATCACTTGTGCAGCTGTGTAGGTGTGCGTGTATAGCCCGTCACCTTCAACCAATTGGACCTCAGACGCACTAAGTCATAGGGGTGCAGGTGGAACGCTTCAGCTCCTACCAGGGACAGTGTCGCTGGCCGAGGCACCAGGTTGGCCTTTCTTTCTCTGTCCTAGGAAGCGATTCCCACCAATTAGAACGAGAGTAGGGATTTGAATGACGATTGGTTTGGTATAACGAGCCACAGCCAAATAAGTTTGTCGTATGCTTTTGAAGGTGCAGTTCACCTAAACGCAATGGTTGGATCGTATGTTCGGCACTCGAGGGAGGTGAAGAATGTCGTACTGAAAGCGTACGAGGAAGGGGACGATTGGAAACAGGTCGCTTGCCTACTGAAGGTGAACGTGACAACTTGTCGCAACTGGATACGGGTGTACGAATCGACGGAATCGGTGGGGCATCACGAGGGAGTTCCTCGCAGAGCCCTGAAAAAAATCCAATTCGACTCTCTGGTGGAGTGGGTTACTGTGCAGCCTACCGTTACCCTTGAACTCCCTCGTTTGCGGTTGAAAGCGAAGTTCGAACTTTCAGTACGTACCAGCACTGTCTCACGATACTTGGATGGTAGACTTATAACAATGAAGAAATTGAACACAATTCCGGAGTCCATGAACACGCTGGAGAACAAAAAACGACGCAAGTCATTCGTTTTGCAGCTCATGGATTACGAGGTGGAAGGAAGGCAACCCGTGTGGATTGATGAGACCAACTTCAACTTATTTTCCTCCCGCACTCGTGGCCGCTCACAACGTGGTAATCGAGCGCAGTGCACAGTGGCTAACAGCCGGGGACCGAATGTTCATCTTGTCGGCGCCATGACAAACAAAGGCTTGATAGCGTG